GAGTTTAAGTAACCACAGGATGTTCCCCTTCACTTTTCAGTCTTGGTTCCCCAGTGTTCAGAGCAGCACTGGACCCTTCTCTACCAGTTCATAATAAACCTGTTAAACCTTCCCCTGGTCTCTCTGTTTGGTTTTCTGCATGTGGGTCAGATCTTTGGATAAAATCATGACACTTTGGTCTCTGAGAATCCAAATGATTTAGAAGCCCTCTCACCAAATCACATTCTGACATTAAAGAGGAAACTGGATCTGCCATCTGGACTGTTTCAGAAACGAGACCTGTACCTCAGGCGAAGATGGAAGCAAGTACAGTATATAGTTAAACTATTTTGAAAAAAGATGGATCTCTGAGTATCTGCCATTACTGCAGGAAAGACAAAAGTGGATGAAAGGGAAAAGAAAATCTCTCCTGGAGAGATTGTCCTGATTGCAGATGCTACTGCAGCCAGAGGATGTTGGCAGATGGGGAGAGTCCTGGCAGTCAAAGCTGATGCATGAGGCCTGGTTCGTTCAGTGCAACTTCGGACCAAAACCAGTGTGTTGGAAAGGAGTGTAAAATTATAGAGGCATTCTGGCAAGCAGTATGTCAAGAAATTAGCTCCGCTATAGGACAGGCACTTCTCCCTAGCCCAGTCATGTGTCTCCTTGGGTTTATACCCAGTCATCTGGATACTCATAAAGAAACTGTGCAATTTCTATTGATGTTGGCCAGAAAATCAATAATACTTAAATTGGTTGGCTCTGATGCCCCTTCAATCTAGCCTCGTGATACCATCCTGATTTCGCGAGCTTTCAAGATTTTACTTGCTAATCACTCTTCACTCTCCGTTGAAGAAAATTTGGAGCCGTTCACCAAACGAACGTCCAGTCAGCGTTGGCTTTGAGGCGGGTTGAGGTGTGACGCAACGAGAAGCGCGACAGTTCAGTCTAAAGAACATGGTGGCTTCAGCCGATGAAACTAGCGTTAGCGTGGCTATCGAGCAAGTTTTATCGGAATTACAGAGTATTTCTTCACTGAAAGAAGAGCAAAACACTGCTCTGGAGGCTTTTCTCAGAGGAAAAGATGTTTTTGCTCTTCTCCCGACTGGTTTGGGCAAGAGTTTGATCTATCAATTGGCTCCTCTTCTTAATTGCTCTGGTACGTCATATGCGTCGTTGATCTGATTGGTCTATTTGGCCCGTCTATCACCAACATAGGCCAATCAGCTAACCAGTATTTTCGCCCCTTCCCAAAATTACTTCAACGGAAGGTTTCCAGATGGATATGCGGAGCAAATCCATCTGGCGGAGTCAGGTTACCATATGCTAGGGTGACCAAACGTCCGTATTTCACGTCCTGTCCCGGGCGTCCAGGGTTTTTTTTAGAAAGTGTGGAAATGTCCTGATTTTTTAAATCACCTTAATTGGACCATTAAATTTACAGGCACTAGAGCACTGCGCACAACGCTGCGTGTGACGTAATCCCTGAGCCGCGTCAGTGCGGGCAGCCCTGTTCTTAATCAGAGGCTCTGTTCGAAAACCTGGGCTGCATCCTCCAAGGACGCGGTCTACCCAGACTGGATCCTTTGAAGTCCTTGATAATAAGGAGACCGGAAGAGTTTTGGCTGTAAATTCGAACAGGTTCACCCTGTTATGCTCTGTTCTTTAGCAACCGTGAAAGTTGACACACAAAGCAGGAAAAGAATGAATACCGAGGTTTTCAAAACTGTTTGTTTATTTATTTATTTTTTAAAAAGTTAAAGTGAACAAAGACTACACTCACAAGAATCCAGAGTGGAATAAAGGTTCCAACCACCGGGAGCAGGAACAAATGAAATCAAATGTAATGATAGAAACCTTAGTCACAAGAGAAAATCACCTTAAAACGTTTTAGTTTTATTCAAATTAACCAAAGCTGTTTGCCTTTGGGTTCACTAAACATTTAGTTCCTGCTATCTTCATAGTTGATTGAATTTTTTACTGTTTTATTTTAACTTTATTCTTTAATTATCCTCCCATATTTGTTTGTTGTTCTTTGTGTGGCTCAGTGTTGATGTGTTCCTTTCTGCTCTGCTGCTTAACTCCCAGATTGTCTATAAGGTCAATAAAATGAGAAGAACTGCAGGAGGAACGTCTCACTGTCCTTTTTTAAAGCTAATTTGTTTTAAAACTGCAAGGTGACAAGAACAATTGTTCTATTAACATGAGCTGTCAGGTCAGACCCCCAACAGGGAAACAATAATAACCACCAATCTGCCAAAGCGCTGTACTATAGTAATATTAGGACTCTTGCTCCATTTGACTTAAGTTTGGTTTATTTATAAAGAATCAACTTACAATCACTTATTTCAAGACACTTTACCAGAAAATACAAACAGATCCTGTTCACATTACTGCAATCAAACCTTTATTATAGTGAGAAATAACAGATGAAGATAGAACGACAGGAAGCATACTTAAACAGAACCAGACCCAGTAGGGGATTTAATATAAATAAGTTTTAAAATAGAAACAAGTCCCAACAAATGTCATCTAAAGGCAATTAACATGACAATTTTAATACAGAAACATGTAACAGAAGTAAAAAAAAAAAAAAAACACAGAATCAAATCTAAACACAAACATCCGGTTAGATCCTATTTACAATATGGTAAAGATAAATTTAGTGTATCATGGCATTCACAGAATTCAATCCAAGGAAGCTCAGCCAATCACATCCAGTCGTCAATGTTGCTGCAGTGCCTCCTCTTGACAGTGGAGAGGAAAACCAGCTTCAAGCAGGAAGGAACCTCCAGTAGCTCCATGTCAGCGCCCATCTACTGTGGCTGAGCGGGTCTTTAACAGGACAGCAGACGTTCGACAGACACAGAGGCACCGGTTGAAGGAGCAGATGACCTTATCTGGAAAAAAAGAACAAGAGTTAGTGAACGAACACGATAGTCTGTTACATTTAAACACATAAACACTGGGAGAGGTGTAACTTTAACCAATAGAAGAGGGAAACACACAGGGAGAACCTAAGGTTAACAGAAGTGATAACTGTAAACAATGGATGCTTGGAGAAAATGCCTGAAAATGCTGCATTTGTTGGAGTCTACAGTCTATGGAAGTAAATCTGTGTTGCTGAGATTTGAATTAAAAATGCTACTGAAATTTAAATGTTGTATGTTTGTGCTTACTATTTCAGTGTTAGAATATATTCACAACACATTTTTGACCTAAAAAAAATCATTGTCATTATTTCTACACAGTTGAAATTTAATTTGTTATTTTCTCTTTAAGCTAAAAATTCACATTACTATTTCAAAGTGATTACATTTTCAATACTTATTTTTCAGTTTAATTTTTGAGTGTTAAAAAAATCTCCATATAGAAAATAAAATCGGCATTTAAATGCAGTTTAAAAAGGGAAGGGTTACTTCAGGTCACAGACATTAGCAATGGATTGTGGCGTCCAACACCCAGCCAATCCCCTTACGTTTTCTTGGTCACGTGACGTGACGCATGTGGCGCTCATGCGGTAAGGAAAACCACCATGACCGAGCCGGTCATGCTAGCTAACGCTACCTCAACTACAGAAAAATGAAAGTAATAAACTCACCGTTGAGTTAGCTATAGCTTGCATGACCGGCTCCGTGATGCTGGTTTACCTACAGTATGAGTGCCACAAGCGTCACGTCACATGACCAAGAAAACATAAACGGATATTGTTGGCTTCCCTTTTAACTACTGAATTTAAACGCAGAATTTAAGCGGTGAATTAGAGCCTAGTTAGGCTGAAAATATTGAGTTTGAATTTTGAAAGGTTGAATTTTTTTTATAATGCAAATTTTTTTTAACACTTAAAATGTTACTTGAAAAATAATTTTTGAAATGTGGTAGCGTGGAACTGTGAATAGTTATGTGTATATGATTAGCTTGAGAGAGAAAGAGAGAGAGACAGATAAGCATTTCAACTGTGTGCGAGAATAGCTGTACAGTAGAAGTGGGGTACAGAAGTAGAGATCATCGCAGGATATTTACCAGATTATCAGTGAGATTGACCTCGGTTTTCTTATTCACGCGAGGCGTCACAGCGGGATCTGCTGCGCGTGAGTATGCTGGGTAACCGCTGATTCTAGATGCGGAGTGTGGGGGTAGTGGGGGTCCGATGGTGTCTCCGGTCTTTTAGACTGTCGTGTGATAGGACGCGATCAACCACTTCATAGGGATGGATCAGAAGGGCGCCAAGTGGCGCAAAATGCGGCGGAGGATGGCGTCAGTCTAGTTCTCTGGGAGTACTCTCGGTTCTCAGGCTCACATCTCAGATGGGATTCGACAGTAGTATTCAGGGCAGGCTGTGCATACAACGTATATTCTAGACATGCGGACGAGATGTGATCTCTAGATAGCACGACACAGAGCTGACATACAACGTGCGTGTACAGCTGGGAATAACAAGCAGTTCTCTGCAGTCTTACAGAGAGTGATCACGAATTGGGGGGTTGGGGAGATGGATAAGGGTATATCTCAAGTGGGTAAGTGGTATTGAATAGGCGAGCGTGGAGGAGGAGATATGAATAAGAAGATAAGTAGGCATGTAGTGACACCGTCCTCTCTCACACACAGTGTAAAAACACATGCGAAGCGATTACACGGCTTAGGGGAGGAACAACCTATGAATAAGGATGGTCATGTAGCTTTTGTATCTCCTTGCGTGGTCATCTTTATGTTTTTTTTCTGAGTCCGATGATACTTATGATATGCGATACCCCAATACTGATGAACATCTGGAATTAATAAAGGTTCATTACCTTCTTCTACTGGGTGTAGCAGATTGATGGTTTAGCTGCGAGGTCGTCGACGTTTTTTAGACTCCAGAATGTTGGAGAGACAAATAGAGGAGCCATGTTTCTCCTCCTTAGTGGACTGTGTGCTCCATCCTCTTCTTCAGCTCCTTCATAAATGAAAGCAAAACATCCTCAGAGTCCTAACCTATCTTCATGTGATGTCTCTCTAGTCAAACCAACATACCTCCAAACGTGTGGATGGATTCTGTTCCAATGTGATCCGACTGCTAGAACACTGCTAGCTGTTCAACCTGCTTTCCCTGTAAAAATAAGACAAATTAATCGACAGAATTTCCTCGACATCAAGTTGAAATCTGGGGCAGGATGTTGTTTTCATTATAATCTTAGTCTGTCTGTGTTTCAATGACTGTTATCTTTTAATCAGGCCTGGGAAGCTTGAGTTGTAGGTTTGTCGTGTTAATAAAGTCTTACTCCGTGTGTTTTCTGTTCCAGTCTTTCTCTGTGCCGTCCTCAGGTGGGGACTGGGAAGCTCCTCACCATCCTGGATGTCCCGGTTCCTCACAGGAGTTTTGCTTTTGGACGTCCACAGTGTCTGAACATACATGAAAAACTAAGTGAGGCCAACTGAAATGTTAACTATATATTTAAAAGATGGATTATTGTTGCTCCTTACTGAACATGCTCTCACTCTTTGTGAAGGTCAGCAGCTCAGATGATCCTCCTCTGGTTCGGTCGCTGCAGATCTCATCAGCATCTTCTGATGGCCCAAAGCTTGTAGCGGCTCGGTCCAACATGGGATTCAAAAAACACAGAAGAGATCCACTGCGGTCAGGATAGGCCTAGATGATATGGAGAATATTTCTGCAGAGGGTTCTTTTCCCTCAAACTAGGCCTGAAAACTAACTAACCAGAGGAACATCTAGAACTAGACCAAGTCACATCGGAAAGCCGTTTCTAACAGTCGGTGCTTCTCATAACTCAAATCCTCACATCAGTCCTGTCCTCTGCGTCTAACTGGTCTAAATCAATTAGTTCCACCAAGCGTCATCTCTCTACCTTCTCACCAACATCCCAGAGACCAGTTCAACTGATGATCACCACAAGCTGTGTCTCTGTTCCATTCTTTCCAGTTTTTCTCCTTTAGGGTTTAAGTTTGACCTCCTCCGTTGTCCTCAGCAGCGATGTCCAGCTGTTTCGTTGAATTGGTTTGCCTCCTTGTGGTTGATCTTTTAACCAGGATTTAATTTCTGTCTTTTTGTGTTTTTTATTTATTTGTTTTTGTTGATTTGCCTCCATTCTGTGTTTCATCTTGTCAAAACTGTTTAGGTTACCTTCTGTTATCTAGCAGAATGTCCACATTAGATGTAGAGCATGTTAGACTATTTCTGCCTTAACCAGCTCTCATGTTTCACACCTTTTATTAGTTGTTATCATCTCCTCAGATGTCTGTGCTAACGGAAATTCTTAACATCTAAAACATACGTCAAAATCTAGCAGCGGGGTAAAGAAAAGCCAGGGTGCAAGACGCTACCTAAGGCATCCCTAGACCTGCCAGATATAAAAACGATCTATAAATGATATCTAGGTGTGACTGTTTCCAGTCCTTCAGCCTTCCCACCTCCAAAAGTCACCAAATCAGCAATAAAATAGATTGTTGAAGGCGTTAAAGGAAGGTTCTTGAAATCCCTCTTCTCAAACATGCCTCTCGCCACAAGGCCTCTTCCCAGGGGGCTCCTCTTCGTCATCTTCCTCTCTTCTCCTTCTCCTGGAGGCAAGGTCTACTTGGCAGTCCGGGGAATCCTCCGGCTCCTCCTGGTTCCAAGGGAGTCTGAAGGGGGGGGGGGGGGGGGGGATCCTCAGGGTGAACCGAAGAAGAGGTGGAAGGTGGTCATTGTCTTCATCAACTTCCTCATCTTCGTCTCTTCTCCTTTTCCTAGAGGCACGGTCTTCTTGGCAGTCCGGGGAATCTTCATCGTCTTCTTCCTCAGAGCTTGTGGTGTCATATCCGGAGAACGCACTAGATACCTCAAGAAACTCACTAGAAACAGACCTATAATCCTCATCCTCATCCTCAGCCTCAAACTGATCCTCAGCCTTCTCGTCATCCTCAGCCTCCTAATCATCCTCAGCCTCGTCCTCAGCCTCATCAAGAGACTCTCTAGAAAAATACCTATCATACTCATCCTCAACCTCATCCTCAGCCTCATAAAGAGACTCTCTAGAAAAATACCTATCATACTCATCCTCATCCTCGTCCTCAGCCTCATCCTCATCCTCAGCCTCATCCTCGTCCTCAGCCTCATCCTCATCCTCATTAAGAGACTCTCTAGAAAAATACCTATCATACTCATCCTCAGCCTCATCCTCGTCCTCAGCCTCATCCTCGTCCTCAGCCTCATCCTCAGCCTCATCCTCATCCTCATTAAGAGACTCTCTCGAAAAATACCTATCATACTCATCCTCAGCCTCATCCTCGTCCTCAGCCTCATCCTCAGCCTCATCCTCGTCCTCAGCCTCATCCTCAGCCTCATCCTCATCCTCAGCCTCATCAAGAGACTCTCTAGAAAAATACCTATCATACTCATCCTCAGCCTCATCCTCGTCCTCAGCCTCATTCTCGTCCTCATCCTCATCCTCAACCTCATCCTCTTCTTCAGACTCCTCCTCATCCTCGTCCTCAGACCTATCATCCTCAGCCTCATCCTCATCCTCAACCTCTTCCTCAGCCTCCTCCTCGTCCTCATCCTCAACCTCTTCCTCGTCCTCAGACCTATCATCCTCAGCCTCATCCTCGTCCTCATCCTCAACCTCGTCCTCAGCCTCATCCTCGTCCTCATCCTCAACCTCTTCCTCGTCCTCAACCTCATCCTCATCTTCTTCCTCAGACTCCTCCTCAGCCTCAACCTCTTCCTCAGCCTCCTCCTCAACCTCTTCCTCATCCTCGTCCTCAACCTCTTCCTCAACCTCTTCCTCAGCCTCCTCCTCATCCTCAACCTCTTCCCCATCCCCAACCTCTTCCTCAGCCTCCTCCTCATCCTCAACCTCTTCCTCAGCCTCCTCCTCAACCTCTTCCTCATCCTCGTCCTCAGCCTCCTCCTCATCCTCTACCTTCACAAAATCCTGTATCTCCACCTCCTCATTCTCCTCCACCACTACTGCTTCAGCCTCTACCTCCTCCTCCTCATCATCAGAAGAACCTTCCTCCACCTCCTCAATGTGTAACTGTTCTCTCAACCTCCTCATCCTTCTCCTCAGTCCTCCCATGAGGTTATTAAAATTGAAATTAAAATTACCCAGTTCCTGAATCCAGAACGGGAGCTCCGGGTCAGGAAGGGCGGCGACTGGAACTAAGAGGGAAAGAAATCATTAGACCAGGAACGTTAATAAAGGAACATTAAATAAAAAATGAAATGCTTTATTTTAGGTTGCTGGATGTGCCTGTATGAGTTTGTCAGGTTAAAGTAGATTTAATCAATAAGAACATTGATCTGTGAGCTAAAATAACCCAATAAAAAACATATTTAGAATGTTAGTGGTTTGGTTAGTTTTAAAATAAAAATGGACATCGTTGTAAAAGACACAATAATACAAAAATGAATACACACAGAAATATTTAAAAATATGTATATATGTGCGTATACGATTGTGTGCTCCTGTCTCAGTACATTTCCCTATCTACTGTCATTAATTTGTGGATTTCCACAGACAGACTCCTACCGTCTCTGTCTTGGGGCTCTGATTAGACTGCCCCACATTTGCAGAGAATCTGCCAATCATGTACTATTGCTAGGTGAATTTAATAATTTAATGGCCAATCAGCGTCTCAGAATTTTATGGTCTTGGGGCTCTGAAAATACTGCCCTTTAACAGGCTTCTGCACCCAATGCGCAGGTGCAGACAATTAGAGGGACAATGGCGAACGTAACGAGCGAGATGCAGCTTCCACCAAATTCGGTGAGATCCTTATTTATCTACCCGTTTGCCAGAAGAACATCCCTGTTGTAGGGTAGGAAAATTTCAGGTCATGGTTATTGTGACTATGACTTACAACAACCTCTAACTTTGTGTGCCACACACATATTCCTGTTATACTGTGCTTGTGAGGACCAATACACTTGCGCTGAGCCCAGTAGCTCCATTAACTTAAAACACACAAGCTGTCCTGGTTACCTGCTGGCGTATTGAGGGTGCACACTTAATATTTCAGTGGGGTTAGCCGTGTGGGTGTGGGGGCTGTGGGTGTGTGTGTGTGTACGTGTTTATGCTACGGGGACTTGTCATCATCAGTCTGGCGGCGTCTTTGCTGGGTTCAAACCCGAGGCAACGCTCAGTAAGCGGTGAAAACGCTACAGTTGTTGGAATGCGGAAGTGACGTCACCAAAACTTGACTCGCTAAATGTTTGTCAGATTATATATTTTTTTTATTTTATGTTTAAAAGTTTAGTGTAATTGAATAAGTCAGTGAATCTGTGTAAAGGAATTAAGTTGTAAAAATTATTTGTTTTTGTATATCAATTGTTTATGGAGGTAATATATGGACAAAACTGATTAATGAGAAGAAATAGGAATAAAAGAGAGCCTGAGGTGAGGGGCTTAAACTATTTAATGAGGGCTATGGGAAGAAGAGCGGCCATTTTTGTTTTCTGTTTCTTTGTTACATTGCTGGTAACTGGAGGGAGGCTGAGGCCCAGAGGATCTTGTATATGTTTAGTTTCTTTTGCACCCTGTTTGGAGTTTTTGAGCACAATAAATCACCAACACCGGTAACCCGACTGAGCCTGGATTCTTGGAGGCCAAAGAACCCTGTCACAGTGACCAAAATCATCACTGTTACTGTTATTATATAGTAAATTAAATCATTACTGTTAAATTGTATTTAATTTCCAATTGTTTATTTGAATTCTTATTCTGGATTAGTTGGAGACATACACTAGGCTATATCAGCCCCACCAAAAATATTTTTACCAGCCGCCACTGCTGAGGAGGATTTTAATTACTTCACCATCACATTGAGGATATCTTTCAAATCACAAGACTGCCATTAAATTTTAATTTTTTTTTTTTATGTAAATGTTTATTATACTGTTTAGTAGGGTTTAGAATTTATTTTCAGAATATTATCAATTAATGAATGGTCCATTTATTTAGTTTATTTCTACCACACTTCCTGCAATGAGACTGAGCTCCCCCAGCTAGGGCTGGGTATTGTTCAAAATTTTCGGTACCGGTACCAATACCGATACCTTCATTTCGATACGGGTTCCTGAACGATACTTTTTTCGATACCAGTTTTATAATATCAATTCGAAGAAAAAGAAAATTATACAACATAATAAAGTACAAATCTTGAGTTTTATTTTAAGCTCTGATTTTTCCATTTACATTTTTCCTCTTACATAATTTTTTTTTTCAGCGAAGAAGAACAGTTGCAAACAAGTCAGTGTCTAATATTCACTGTTACATTGTGAGGACCTTTTTTATTTAGCAGTTTTTCTTTAGAAAAATTAACATGTCTGCTTTCTCAGGAGACAAACAAGCCCGTTGAATGGGATCCTACTGACAGCGCACCGCTGGTATGTGGGGGTCTGAGCGGCTCCGACAGAAATAATATTGGAAGGCAGGATGGTAATCTGGATGAACTGACTGCACTGATTTAGTTTTCAGGTGGATTTTCCCACTTAAAAACATAATAAAACTACTTTATTCCCACTGATCACAGCAAATATAGCTGCAAGGCAAATAAAGGATAGAGTAGCTCCGCCCAAGGCGTGTCAGAGCCACTTTTCGACCGCACAGCCAGAGCAGCAAAGCTGCTTCAGCCGCGCGTCAGAAGC